TCGACCCCTCTGCTGGAACAGAAGAAAGTGCTGCTGGGGTTTTATGTTTGGCTTTAGAGCCATTCAGTTCTCAGCAGGATGTGGTCATTCAAAGATCTTTTGCTTTGCAGGTAGCTCTCGGTCAGTGTAACGAGCTACTAGGGGCCAATCCAGAGGCAGAAGGATTACTTCAGGGCAAACACAGCACCAAGGGGCTGGGCAAGATAGCTCCCAGTCCTGTGCGCTCCATCACCTTGTAAGTACGCGGAGCCTGGAGGGCCAGAAAACTCCTTGTGGCTAGATAAGACTCTGCTTTCTCTATTTCAGCTGCTGAACCAGAGGTAGATGTTGACACATTCTCTTCCATTTGGCAGGAATGGGAGTATAGTGCCCTTGGGACCAGCGAGTGACACAGGAATTCTGAATCCCGAGGGTTATACCCTCAACTACAATGAATTTATTGTCTATAACCCCAACCAGGTCTGTATGCGTTACCTTCTAAAGGTTCGATTTAATTTCCTGCAGTTGTGGTGAATGTTGATATTAAATAAAGCAGGAAAGATATGATCTTCAAGCAAGAAGACAGGCAATATTGTACTTCTGATTTTCTCATTTTTTTGTAATAAAAATAGTACAAATGTATCACTGGCTTCTTTGAGCTTTACTTCTACAAGCACATACTTCTTATGTTAGTTTATCTTCGTTTCTGGACAGAAAGTACAGTTGCTCTGCGTATCCCACAGCTAGCTGCAGGTTACTCAGGGTCCTGTTCTCTCACAGCAGAGTAGCCTCTGTGCATTGAGGGATGCTAATGGAGGGTAATGCTTTTCCCACTAAATAGTATTTCTGCAAACTGGAGTTTGTTAGGTAATATTACAGCAAAGACTGAATTGTTTCCCATCCAGATCTTTTCACTTGCCTTTCTCCCCTGTTTACCAACTGCAGACTGGTGCTCCTACCACTTAGCATCCTAGGATTTCAGCAGATGTCCAAAAATTTGGGAAGCACTTGAAGGACTGTTACTAAGCCTAAACTAAATATATCTCAGGGAGGCGAGAAGTACAATGATTTTGATGTACCCTGCTCCAGCTAAGAAGTACCAAAGTCCAAGTCAGATCCAAAGACTTCCTGACTATTTGTGAACACATACAACACAGATAAACACACACAACATCCGTCCTTAGTAACAATGAAGGTCATTTAAATGAAAACAATAGCCTGTAACTTTAGAGACCAGATTACCAATATGGATCAAAAATTTAAAATGTACACCCTTTAACCTAAAAGTTACAGATGTACATGTTTGCATAGATGATGTCACTGCAGAATTGTTCTATGCAAAAAAAAATCCATAGATAAGGAATTAGTGATATATATATATATAT